TTATTTGTGTGTCCCAGGGCCCCTTCACCCGGGGCCATCGGAGATGGATCCAGAAAGAAGACTTGCCCTAGGGGAGGGGGTGGGGCGCGGATGGAAACGATTTCACCCTCGGACATTTGAGTCTTCGGGCGTTTTCCAGCCTCGGGCCTTTCGACATGGTCGAGGTTCTCCAGACTCCTTCGTCGGGCCCCAGACGCTTTCCAGCCCCAGGGCGCCCTAAGCGACACTGTGCTGCTTCGCCGCGCAGTGCCACCCCAACCCAGATCATGAAGTAAAACTTTTGCACGAGTGGCCGCGCAACACCCGTCTGAGCCAGCCACTGGTCGGTGAGGGTTACCAGCGATGTCCCTTGGGGCCTCTCCTCCCCTCCTCTTCCCTCCCAGCTGGGGTGCCGACAGAGACATCCGGCATCCCTCGCCGTCGTGCGAGAGCCCCAGCCTGGAAACCAGATGTCTTCCCTTTCCCCAAGACGGGGCCCCCAGAGGTCCCGACCCTCTCCTCGGGACCGTTTTTGTTGTTGTTGTTGTTGTTGTTGTTGTTGCTGCTGCTGCTGCTGCTGTTGTTGTTGTTGTTGTTGTTGTTGTTGTTGTTGAACATTATTTATTCTAAAGAATAATTATTGTTGGGCCCCCTGGTGCGCGCCCCCCCTGCGCCGCCTAGGCCGCAGCTACATTTTCATCATTTTCGTGAGGAAGCCTCAGAAAAGAGGGTGTGTACAGGATCCGGTTGTTTTGTTGTAATCCGCTTTCCCTTGCAAAAAACAATAGAAAATGACATTTCTTGTTCTAATATAATCAAATTTCAAGAATCCCTTGCAAAAAATAAGGTAAAGTGGACATTCGCGCGCGCAAGACGAAATCCTTCCAAAACCTTAGTGTTCGCAGCGATTTTAACATAAAAACATCAAAAAACCAATGGTTTTTCAAAAAAATTGTCAAAATCTCATCCCGCGCGCTCTTGCGGATTCGTAGGAAACCCAACACTTTTTAACATTTCTGTCAAACGGGCTTTTGCGAGCAACTTTTTCGAACTTCTGCGACAACGGTTGCGCACCTGCCAGGGCCATCATCCCTGTCAAATAATACCATGCGGGACACATTCGTTTTTTCTTCGCGCGCGCACGCCGAAATCTCCAAAAACCATTGGGCTTCTTAAGAATTTTAGCACCGCGCATCATAAAATCACACGAATCGCACCGTAGGTCCTCGAAAAACACCTGCACGAATTTTCAAAATTTCTACCCGCGCGCGCTGTCCGAATCCTAAAAAAAACCATTTCTTGTTACGACTAACTTCTGTGGGTGTGTACTCCGCGCCAGTGTAGTAGCCACGGTCGTCCGCAGGCCACGAAGTGAAGTGTCCGAACGTCATAGGGCGGGAAGCTGGGTGTGGGTGGTGGCGAAGAGTCGTGTGGATATTTGGTAGAGCTTGCACTGCCCCCCCACAAAGTGGGGGTATTGGCTGGCGTCGCATGAAAACCCTGGCACTGGTGAGAACACTGAGCGTTCGGGTAAAATGAGTTGTTGTTGTTGTTGTTGTTGTTGTTGTTGAACATTATTATTCTAAAGAATAATTATTGTTGGGCCCCCTGGTGCGCGCCCCCCCTGCGCCGCCTAGGCCGCAGCTACATTTTCATCATTTTCGTGAGGAAGCCTCAGAAAAGAGGGTGTGTACAGGATCCGGTTGTTTTGTTGTAATCCGCTTTCCCTTGCAAAAAACAATAGAAAATGACATTTCTTGTTCTAATATAATCAAATTTCAAGAATCCCTTGCAAAAAATAAGGTAAAGTGGACATTCGCGCGCGCAAGACGAAATCCTTCCAAAACCTTAGTGTTCGCAGCGATTTTAACATAAAAACATCAAAAAACCAATGGTTTTTCAACAAAAAAATTGTCAAAATCTCATCCCGCGCGCTCTTGCGGATTCGTAGGAAACCCAACACTTTTTAAACATTTCTGTCAAACGGGCTTTTGCGAGCAACTTTTTCGAACTTCTGCAACAACGGTTGCGCACCTGCCAGGGCCATCATCCCTGTCAAATAATACCATGCGGGACACATTCGTTTTTTCTTCGCGCGCGCACGCCGTCGTCGTCGGCCGCGGGGCCCTGAATAGTAGCCACGGTCGTCCGCATGCCACGAAGTGAAGTGTCCGAACGTCATAGGGCGGGAAGCTGGGTGTGGGTGGTGGCGAAGAGTCGTTTGGAAATTTGGTAGAGCTTGAACCGGCCCCCCCACAAAGTGGGGGTATTGCCCGCCTCCTATGAAAACCCTGGCACTGGTGAGAACGGAGTGTCCCCACGTGCTAGTAATTGTTGTTGTTGTTGAACATTATTAATTCTAAAGAATAATTATTGTTGGGCCCCTGGTGCACGGCCCCCCTGCGCCGCCTAGGCCGCAGCTACATTTTCATCATTTTCGTGAGGAAGCCTCAGGTAATTCGATGTGATCAAGATCCGGTTGTTTTGTTCCCCCCCGCTTTCCCTTGCAAAAAACACTATAAAATGACATTTCTTGTTCTAATATAATCAAATTTCAAGAATCCCTTGCAAAAAATAAGGTAAAGTGGACATTCGCGCGCGCAAGACGAAATCCTTCCAAAAGCTTAGTGTTCGGAGCGATTTTAACATAAAAACATCAAAAAACCAATGGTTTTTCAACAAAAAAATGTCAAAATCTCATCCCGCGCGCTCTTGCGGATTCGTAGGAAACCCAACACTTTTTAAACATTTCTGTCAAACGGGCTTTTGCGAGCAACTTTTTCGAACTTCTGCGACAACGGTTGCGCACCTGCCAGGGCCATCATCCCTGTCAAATAATACCATGCGGGACACATTCGTTTTTTCTTCGCGCGCGCACGCCGAAATCTCCAAAAACCATTGGGTTCTTAAGAATTTTACCACCGCGCATCATAAAATCACACGAATCGCACCGTAGGTCCTCGAAAAACAGCTGCACGACTTTTCAAAATTTCCACCCGCGCGCGCTGTCCGAATCCTAAAAAAAAACAATGGTTTCCCAACATTTATGTTACATGAGCTCGCGCGAGCTACTTTCGCACGCTCTTGCAACGGGGTTCGCGCGCCTGCCAGGGGCCATAATCCCTTGCGGTTGCGCCATAGGTTGCGCCCTCGGATGTTCTGTGGAAGGCTTAACAACTTCTGTGGGTTAACAAGGCTTAAGAACTTCTGTGGGTGTACGAACGTAGGCTTAACAACTTCTGTGGGTGTGTACTCCACGCCAGTGTAGTAGCCACGGTCGTCCGCAGGCCACGAAGTGAAGTGTCCGAACGTCATAGGGCGGGAAGCTGGGTGTGGGTGGTGGCGAAGAGTCGTGTGGATATTTGGTAGAGCTTGCACTGCCCCCCCACAAAGTGGGGGTATTGGCTGGCGTCGCATGAAAACCCTGGCACTGGTGAGAACACTGAGCGTTCGGGTAAAGTGATTGTTGTTGTTGTTGTTGTTGTTGTTGTTGTGGTTGTTGTTGTTGTTGTTGTTGTTGTTGTTGTTGTTGTTGTTGTTGTTGTTGTTGTTGTTGTTTTGTTTGTTTTTTCATCCCGAGTCGCTTCTTGACGGTCCTGGGGCGCGGCGAGGGCCCCGGTTGGCCTCAACAGGCCATCCGAGCAGTCCTGCGTCGTCCTGGGCCAGAGCTCTCCAGGGGCGGGGGCGCCGCCGCGGGCGGCGCCGCGGAGCTGGAGCCGCCCGGCACCCTGCTCGGGGGGCCTGGGGAGGCCCGCGGGGACTGCCTGGGGTCCCTTGCCTGTGCGCAGCCCGAAGCCCCACCGGCCGAGCATCGGCAGGGACCTATCGTATGTTTGGTGTCGCGGCGCGAGGATCTGGCCCTCCCTTACCAGCCTCGAACGTATCCCTATCCCTAAGATTGACACGCCAAAAGGCGATGACAATCTTAGGGATCGCCCTCAAAAAATAAGGGAATCCCTCAGATTGGCATCGTGGTGAGGAGGTGCCCAGCATAGGGACAGGGATATGTTCCAGGCTGGTAACTCCCAGGTGGGGTCTCCGAGTGGATGCGGCTCGGAGGATCGCGCCGCATCGCCGGTGCATCGGCGATGCGGCTCGGTGTGCAGCCCGATCATCCCCACGCCGACATCGCCGATGCATCGCCGATGCCCCCGATGCCGCCGATGCATCGGCGATGCGGCGGGGTCCTCCGACCCCAGCTGCGCGGACCCCATCTGGGAGGCCTCTCCTGTGATTGGCGTCGCAAAGATCGTGTGCTGCGATGTGGCGCCGCTGGCCCGGTTACTGCACGCTGCCCCCCCCTTGGGGGTCGCGTGAAGCGAGGAAGCCCTGCCAGGGGGGATAGCGTGCACCGACGAGGCCCTCGCAGGGGGGCAGCGTGCGCAGAAGGGGGCCTCGCCGGGGAATCGCGTCACAGGGATCACGCGCTTTTCGGACATCGATGCAGCACGCTATCTTGCGCCGCGATCCCAGGCACCTGGCGCTCCAATTTTGTCGGTGCGTGGGCCCCCCGAGGAATGGACCATTTCCCCAAGGCGACTTTTTTCATCCCGAGCCGTTTGTCTTGACGGTCCTGGGGCCCGCAGAGGGCTAGCAGAGGCCGAAAATAGCCTACACTGGCTGCTCTCGGGCGGGGCCAGGACGAGGGCAAATTCGTCCCAGGGCGTGGGAGCGTTCCAGAACGCTCTGAGAAGGCCGCGGCGCCCGAGGCGTCCTCCAGATCCGCAGGATCTCAGAGATCTCGATTTATCCTTACCCGATTTTGTCCTCGCCCTGCTTTCGTCTTGGGAGGAGGAGGAGGAGGAGGAGGAGGAGGAGGAGGAGGAGGAGGAGGAGGAGGAGGAGGAGGAGGAGGAGGAGGAGGAGAGGAGGAGGAGGAGGAGGAGGAGGAGGAGGAGGAGGAGGAGGAGGAGGAGATGGGGGGGGGCCCCGCGGAAGCGCGCCAGGCACTTCGACGACATGTTCGCCGACCGCTTCGCGACGCGCCCCAGCGGCGGGAGCGTGGCCGCCGCGGCCGCGAGGAGGGCCGCGGCGGCCTGCGCGGCCGCGCGTCGCGCGCGGCCAGGCCCCAGGGGCGACCTCTGGAGAGGTCGCTGGGGAGGGTTCCGCGGACCCTCCAGGAGGGCTCATAAGATAGCACCAAGACCTGGATACATCAGGAGGGGAAGAAACACACAGACACAATTAATCGTCGACTCCCAGGAGAATATGGGAAAATATAGGAAATGGGCCGGAAGACAAAGACCCAGAAAATATTGGAAAATATGGGGAATCCTGTTATTTTTGTGTATTTGTTAGTGTGTCCCTGGGCCCCTTTACAAAAGATAGCACCAAGATCTTGGTACAGTCGGCCCGAGGTAGAAGGTCAAGGTCGGTTTGGGGAGGGTGCCCTGAAGCTCTCCATGCTCGTTGGACGTTCTTGTGCGTCCTGGGGGTGGGGCACCCTTGGCTGTCCTGTCCGTTTTGACCGACGGAGTGTCTCATGTCATTGAGGGATTTCCTACTGGCCCAGGTTCGACTGTACCTAAATTCCAGTAGAGGTTTTACACAGTCTAGATCGGTCTGTAGGTCTGGAGAGTGCTATCTTTTAGCCCTCTGGGAGGTCAGGGTCGCCTGCACTTGAGATCGCCCAGGCATGCGGCGCCTTGAGAAAATCAGTGCGGAGATTTTTCATCCTTTTCGGCCTCTCGGGGCCCTTACCGTTTTGGCGCCGTCAACAGAAACGACTCGGGATGGAAAGCGGGTCCCGGGGAAGTGGTACATTCTTGGGAGCGTTGAGCAGCCACAATGGAATCCTTTTTGTTTTTTGCATTTGGACCGCACCTGGACCACATTTGGCCCCTCCTCCTGCTCCTCCTCGCCCTTCCTGTTCCCATTCCCCTTCCTCGTTCTTCTCGTTCCCCGTGTGAAAGGGGCGAATCCGGTCCAAATCCGGTCCAAATCAGGTCCACATCCAGTCCCACATGTTCCAAGTGCGGTCCAAATCAGGCCCAAATCGAACAGCGCTGTGGGCCTTGCAGGCTCCCATGTAACGGACACCCAACGTTGGGGAGGATTAGTCTGCACGTGAGATCGGGGGCGGCCAAGAGGGTGTGATGACCAGGGGTGTGTGGATATCATGGCTGGTGCCATGATATCTCCCCGGATTTCATGGCTTCTTCTGATTCTAATGCGTCCCCTGTTCCCCCCCTTGTTTGCGCACATACCACAGGCCATGATTTGCGAACCCCTCTTGGACGCCCTCGATAATGTGGGTGTTGCAATTTTTTCACAGCGGGCGTTTTCAGGCCTCAGGACCATCACATATCGATCTGGCTCGAGGTCTGGGGCTCCGGTCGTGATTTTTGGCGATTCTTATTTTATCCTGCGACGTCGGATCTCAGAGGCGTGACCTTTCGCTTGAGTGGCCCTTGGGTCCCCCCCCGCCCCCCCGATGGCTGCATGCGATGCGACAGCAGCGGCTCGTGCGCTCTGGTTTGGGCCGCCCAAACGTCGCTCTTACCCACAAGGTCCTCGAGAAGGGGCCGAGATTTCCGGCCAGGCCGGGCGGCGAACGAAGGACTCGAGGCTCGAGGATCGTTGATCGAGAGATCTTGATCCTCCATCCTCGAAGGTCGAGGTGCGAGGATGGAGCATCGAGGTCGACGATCGAGGCTCGGGGTTCGAGGATCGAGGCTCGAGGATCGAAGCACCTGGCCCTTCCTTTGGCCTCGTGGGGGGCGCCCCGTGGAGCAGCGCAGCGAAGGCCGCTCTTGCCCAGAGTCACGCTTGCGCGTAGCCTTACGTCGGGCTGTCCCTCTACAGGGGGGATCTTCAAGAATAGTCAAACAATAGTCTGGGGACGTTTTTTTTTTTTTTTTTTTTTTTTTTTTTTTTTTTTTTTTTTTTTTTTTTTTTTTTTTTTTTTTTTTTTTTTTTTTTTTTTTTTTTTTTGTTTTCCTTAATTATAAAAAGTTCTTAATAAAAAAAACATGGTTGGGTATGTTTGGAGTGTTTTTGGACGAGTTTTGAGTTTCGTCTAAAATCCGCCTGCAGGGGGACAGGCCCGACTGAAGCGCAGCCGGAGGGGCGACGGAGGGAGGGCGACGCCCTGCGGCCACCTGCGAGCCCTGCGGCCCTGCGGGCCCCAGCGACGCTGCGGGGTCGGACCTCCCCCCCCCCGGGGGGTCCCTCCGCTGCAGACGCCCCCTCGAGTGCGGACTCCCGGCCAGTTCTGCAGAGATCTGCCCTGGTGAGCAGGGCTCACACGTGGCTGCCCAGAGGAGTGGAAGTCTGAGGTCTTCTGACGTTCGTGCCTCAGGAGGGGAAGAAACACACACAGACACAATTGAGCGTCGATTCCCCAGGAAAACATGGGAAAAGGTGGGAAGTGGGGGGGAAGACGAACACCCAGAATGTATGGGAAAATGTGGGGAATCCTGTTATTCGTGTGTATTTATTTGTGTGTCCCTGGGCCTCTTCAATGCTTCGTCATGGGGGGCACGGGCCCTGCGGGCAAGGGGTCCTGAGGCTATTCGCCACCTTCGGGCGCTCGGGCCCTCCACGGGCCCCGGGACCGTCCGAAGGCGATTCAGGAAGTGGTCTTGGGTCCTCCTCCTCCTCCTCCTCCTCCTCCTCCTCCTCCTCCTCCTCCTCCTCCAGGACCCGTTTCCCTCAGGACCCGTTCCCCACATGCTCAATGCTGGCTCCTGGGTATTTCTTGGGCCCCGGGGTGTTTTTCATCAGCTGCGCCTTGTCAATCGCCTTTGGGGAGCCTGGAGTCGCTTTAGACGGCCGCCCGAGGGCTGAGTTCTGGCCGAACGCCAGGGGTTGTCAGGAACATTGGGGACCTTCCTTGGCCACGGGGCCGACTGGTAGATGCTCGTTCTGGGGACCTTCCTGGGGGCCACCCAAGGGACTCCAGCTCGACGCAAGCTCGACCGAAATTCGAGTCGAATTCGACTGAATTTCGAATCAAGATCGACTCAGGTCGACGGACGTTCGACGCAGCATCGACGCATGAGTGGAGCGAGTGGCTCCAGGAAGGTCCCCAGACAGAGCATCTAAGGATTGAGCTTTCGGAGTTCCAAATCTCTTGAGGTTCCTGGGTGTCTCCGCAGGTCACTGGAGGTCTCTAGTGACATGCAGAGGCGTGGTACTGATAGTCGTCGTCGATGGCGTGGTAATAATAGTCGTTGTCGGTGGGATATCCCCTCAAGCAGCACTGGTAAACTAAAACCTCTTGAGCCTAGTAGGCAGGGGCTCAAGAGGGAGGAAAAGAGGGACGCGCACGGCTCAGATGATGATGACGACCCTTTTTTGCCAAAGGGGCCGTGCCGCTCCCTGCGCTGGCGCCCGGCGCTCCACGCGCCGGCGCCGTCTTCGGCCACGCGCAGCGGGCCACGCCGCGCCGCCGAGGCACTGTAGTGCCAGGCGGCGCTGTAAAAGTCCAGAAAAGGGCGGGTAGGGAGCCCTGCGGGGCTCCCAGGGTGGGCCAGCTTGGCCGTAGAAAGGCTTGAGCCGCGGAGCGGCGGTGAAGAGAGAGGGAGAGAGAAAGGGCAAGCAAGAGGCAAGGGCAGGAGCAAGGGAACCGCAAGTGGAAGCCCGCGCCAGTTCTGGAGTCGGGGAGATCCATCAGTTTTACCAAACATCCTAGATATCCCCTCAAGCAGCACTGGTAAACTAAAACCTCTTGAGCCTAGTAGGCAGGGGCTCAAGAGGGAGGAAAAGAGGGACGCGCACGGCTCAGATGATGATGACGACCCTTTTTTGCCAAAGGGGCCGTGCCGCTCCCTGCGCTGGCGCCCGGCGCTCCACGCGCCGGCGCCGTCTTCGGCCACGCGCAGCGGGCCACGCCGCCTCCTTCCCCCTGCGAGCGCTCCACCACGCCGAACTGGCTGTAGTGGGACGCGTAGCCGCCGACCTTGTCGGCGTAGAACAGTCCTGGCATCCGCGGCAGGCCGCCGCGTCTGCCCAGCAAGGTGGGTCCGCAGGCGCAGGGCGGCAGGCCGCCGGTGCCCGCGGTGGTTCTTCGTGCGCCCTAGGCAGCAGCCCTGGCTGGGCTGGCTGCCGGCGCCCCCGTAGCCGCCACCGCCGTCCCCCGTGACGGCACTGCCGGTTGCCGGGCCGGCCGGCGCACTTGCCCTCAGGCGCCAGCTGCCGCCGCGCCGCGCCCAGCTGCTCGCAAGCGCAAAGTTGAGCGCGGGCGCCAGGCTGAGCTCAGCCGGCGCCGCGCTTCCGCTCGCACGGCGTATGCCGGCGGCGGTGGTTCCCACGCGCCCCGCGCGGCAGCCCTGGCTGGGCTAGCCGCCGGCGCTCCCTCGAAGCCGCCACTGCTGCCCCCTTGGCGGCACTGCCGGGTGCCAGGCCGGCGCGGCGCCTGCCCACGGGCAGTCTGGCCGCGGCACGCGCCCAGCCGTTCGCAAGTACGAAGCTGATGCGGGCGCCAGGCTGAACTCAGCCGGCGCCACGTGGCCGCTCGCACGGCGGTTGCCGGCGGCGGTCCACTGCTGCCCGCTCGGCCGCTGGCCGGCGGCAGCCCGCACCCTAGTCACGGTGCGGCCTCTGCTCCCCTCCACGGGGCCATCCTGATGACCCGCGGTGCCCTGACGGGGCCATCTCCCGCGTCACCTCGTTGGCCCGGCGGAAGCCCTGGGTCTCGTGCACGTACCTCACGCCATTGTAGTGCACCGGGCCCATCACACCTGCGTCGCAAAACGTCCTCTGCGGCTGCTTGGGAGGCTTATGCGCCTTGGGCGTCTGCTGCGCGGCGGCCTGCTGCACGGCTGGCCCCTGCCTACCCTCGTCCTCCTTGGCCATCTTGCAGCAGCAGCCACCAATCACCCCGATGCCTGCTGCAAGCAGCACTGCGATCGTGGCACCCACCTTCATCGCCGTCCCCACCGGGACAATGATCGCCACCGTACCCATCTGCGGCTCCCAGCGAAGCATGGCCCCCTGGGCCTTGCCGTCAACAGTCGCCACTTCTCGGCTCTGTACCTCTCCGGCTGCTGTCGTGAGCGCCGTCGCCACCAGCGCTGCG